GTCTTGCCGGCAGCCAACGCTGCAAGTATGTGTGTGTGTGTGTGTGCGTGCAGCTGCTGCTACACTGCATGGCGCGCCTCTTCGGGAAGCAAGGCTCGGAGTACCTGCGCAGGACAACACCGACCCCATCTGATAGGATAGCCCTGAAGCAATGATCGAAAGTGCGTTCGATTCAACAACCTGTCACAGTGCGAGATAGGCTTAGTCAAGTTTAGTCCACGCGAAGCCGCCGCAAGCGCAATTTGGTTGCGTCTGGGCCGCCCAAGCTTTCTTAACTTGTCGACTGCTATGCAACAAGCGCAATTTTGTCTGGCTCCTCCTTGCTGGTGGGAATTTTGTTTGTTCGCGCGCGCGCAAATGATTCAACTCCTAACGGCTAAAGGCAACCTTAAGCATAGGGAAGTCTTTGATTCTACCCTGCATCATTGTGGCATGTTTGGGAGCATTCCAATGGCCAAACCTGATTCTGTGCTCATGATGAAATCTGCCAACAACAGACGGCATGTTGGAATGCTCCTTACCTCTTTACCTCCTACCCCTCCCTCCGGGGGTGGCCACGTACGCGGTGAGAAGACGTTCCGTGTTTGATTCCCCCGGGTCCGCTGCATCCTTAGAATCTCCTGGGCAACATCGCCAGCATCACCTGCATCATCCGCATCAGTGCCTGCCAAGGATGAGGATGATGCAAGTGATGCTGGGGATGTTGCTCATGCTGGTGAAGAAAAAACTGCAAATGAAGGAAAATGCATGGAAATGAATGACATGAAGTGAAATGAAGGAAAAGGACAAAAAACAGACATAAAGGGACATGAAGGGAAGTAAAGGAAAGTGAAGGGAAATGAGATCTTAAGGGGGGAAGGGCGGAAAAATATTTTCTGAGTCTACACCGATGGAGCCTTGTATGTAAATCTAGTAACAGGGGGTCGCCTGCTCGGGGCCGCAAAAAACATTCTGCAAGCAACCAAGCCGCATTTGGCTCAAAATCGCGCTTTTTTCTGCGGGGCTGATACATGTCACAAGCGGCTAGTTGGATGGCGTGAAGAATTTGATTATCCTCTTAAGGGGGAAAAGACCTAAGAAGAAAAAGGGAGGATCTTAGGGCGGGAAAGAGTGAAACGATCTTAGGGGGGGGAAGGCCTCAAGGAGGAAAAGATCCAGGAGGGGAAGTGGGGAGCGGATCTTGGGGGGGAAAATGGGTGGAAACGATAGGGGGGGAAAATGCCTTAGGGGGGAAAGGGGGAAAGGATCTCAACAGGGAAAGGGTGGAACAGATCTTACGGAGGGGGAAAAGGCCGTAGGGGGGAAAGGGGGAAAGGATCTGAACAGGGAAAGCGGGGAAAAGATCTTAGGGAGGAAAAGGGAGAAGATCTCGGGGGGGGAAAAGGCCTTAGAAGGGAAAAGGATGTCAACAGGGAAAGGAGAAAAGATCTCGGAGGGGGGGGGGAAGGAAAAGGGAGAAGATCTCGGGGGAAAAAAGGCCTTAGGGGGGAAAGGCGGGAAAGAATCTCAACAGGGAAAGGGGGAAAAGATCTTAGGGAGGAAAAGGGAGAAGATCTCAGGGAAAGAAAAGGCCTCAGCGGGCATCTGAGGGGGGCTTAGCGGGGAAAGGGGGGAAAAGATCTTACGGAGGAAAACATTTTGAGGGGGGGAAAAGGCCTTGGGGATAAAAGGGGGGAAAGGATCTGAAGGGAAAGGGAAGAAAAGATCTCGGATAGGAGGGAGGGGAAGGAAAAGGGAGAAGATCTCAGGGGGGGACAAGGCCTTAGGGAGGAAAGGGGGGAAAGGATCTCAACACGGAAAAGGGGGAAAGAGCTTAGGAAAGGCCTTAGGGGGGAAAGCGGCGCAAGGATCTCAACAGGGAGAGGGGGGAAAAGATCTTAGGGATGAAAATGGGGGAAAGAATCTCAACAGGGAAAGCGGGGAAAAGATCTCCGGGGGGGGGGGGGAGGAAAAGGGAGAAGATCTGAGGGGCCTTGGGGGGGAAAGGGGGGAAAGGATCTCAACAAAGAAAGGATCTTAGAAAGGAAAAGGGAGAAGATCACAGGGGGGAAAGGACTTCGGGGGGGAAAGGGGGGAAAGGATCTTAGGATCTTAGGGAGGGAAAGGGAGAAGATCTCAGGGGGAAAAAGGCCTTAGGGGAGAAAGGGGGAAAGGATCTCAACAAGGAAAGGGGGGACAAGATCTCGGGGGGGGGGGGGGGGGAAGGAACAGGGAGAAGATCTCGGGGGGAAAAGGGCTTAGGGGTAAAAGGGGGGAAAGGATCTCAACAGGGAAGGGGGGAAAGGATCTTAGGGAGGAAAAGGGGGAGAAGATCTCGGGGGGGACGGGGGGGAAAAGATCTTAGAGGGGAATGGGGGCAAGGGGATAATTCCAAAGGGGCGCAAATAAGAAAGCAGGCCTGTAGCGTTACCTTGATCGCGGCTGCTTCGGGGGTTGGCGAATAGGGCAGCCCATGAATGATCCCCTCAGGATCTCATGACAGCACTGGCAGCATTGTCTCTGCAAAGCTCAAGGGTCAGTCTGGAGAGCATCCTGCCTCACCAGCCTCTGTACAGCGATCTAGCAAGACGTCTCTGCGATCAGATACATCCTTGCTGTTCGAACGCACTGCCAAATCAATATGTCAGTTGTCTTGGTGTCAGTCCTGAGCTGTGATCCGCCTCAGGCGCTGCAGCTGCAAATCCTGGCTCTTTAATATGCGCATTCACTGGCTCGCAACATCACTGATGCTGACACGTTTGCCAAGTGTCTGCGGAAATACAAACCGTCGCAAAAATGTGTTTGCAACAAAATCACAAATTGGCCTGAACACAAGCAATGCAAGAGCCGCTGGCTGGATCAGTGTCTTGTCCTCACGCGCGAACAGGCGCGAAAAACCGACAAAGCACTGAGGCCAGCGGGGACGCTGCGTGTCGAGACGTCGCTTTTTTGCCACGCAACATGGCAGCGAGTCGCCAGAACATGAGGATCAACCAAACCTGCACGCCTCCCCACGCATCTTGAAACTGCCACTCACGCTCGCGCTTCACGTATCGTTGGGCCATGCGCCGGCTGAGCCGGTGTCTATCGCTTCCAACAAAGCCCATACATCACACGAGTCTAATAGTCAAGAGGACAATGGAAGGGAAGAAGCGAGCCAAATATATGATCATAAGGCGACGCTGGTGAGAATGATTGGCAGGCGAACAGGAGGCGCCGCCCTGTAAACGCATCAGGATGAGGGCGCGTACAGTAATGGACACAGACCCTGCTCAAACACCTCTTCTCGGATTAAACCCGGGCTTCAACCAGCTCCAGTAAGGCTTTCCAATGACAACTTGAAAACTTCCCGTCGCTGGCGCTCACGCTTCGTTTTTTCTGCCGCTCTACACAACTGTCGGCCGTCGCAGGCCCTCCTACGAAGGCAGCCACTTGTCCCAACAAGCTCGACGGTATAGCGATGTCAGAGCAAGGCCTGACCAAGCAGCGCAAACTGACTTGTTGTGTTAAGGTAAGACCACATGGGCGTTTCTGATCCGTTCTTCTACAAGTATGAGAACTTCTCGCAGCGCCGCAAACGCTTCGAGGGTCACGGTCTGCTGAGCTTCATGCGCCTCAAGTATGGCAAGGAAACAATCGGCTCCAGGCAAGCGGGGTGTCTCTCTCGAAAAGAGTGACGACCAGAGCAATTGGCGAGAGCACAGATTGGGGCAGCAACGAGCTGCCTTCCTCAGGGCCTCGTGCGCAGGGCGATCTAGCCGCATCTAGCCGAGCTTGAAAGCGAAATGCTGCCCTTCTGATTCACCGCCAGGCTTGGAGAACCACCGCGCGCGAGACACGGACTTGCAATCTCTGACTCGCTGAACAACGCAGGTGTGGACTTGGGAAGGATTCAAGAAATGGACTTGGGACGGCCTCAAGGAAGGAAAGTTGGGAAGCATGAGGTGTGTCGGAGGGGGGACGGGGTTGGAAACAAACTTGCTGAGACTGTCTGGCGTCATGTGGCTGATGAAGTAAACAGCCTCGACTGCAGCAGCAACAGGCCAAACCCTCTGCGAGGCCCCAAAAAGCCTGTCACCCACTGATCTTTCACGAAGCAAGCCACGCCCCGCGCACTTTGCGACAACCATCTCAGCGCTGGGCTCATTGCTCCATCTTCAGAGGAGTCAAGGCAAGGCTGAGCACGCCGCGCTCACTCCAGCGCCTTCACCCCCTGCCTGAGCGCGACGGCCCACGCAGCGCGCTGGGGCGCGGTCAAGGCGCCCAAGGACATAACGTTCGGCCATCCCCGCAGGTAAGGAGTCTCTGGTCAGACATGCCGGACGGGCACGCGAGACTCAGCGGCATGGCGCCAGCTTCTGTCGCAGCTTCGGAGCAACTGCTTGTTGCCGGAACACAGTTGGGGCAAACTATATGACCTGCTTCAGCGATTTAGGACGCAGTGACAGGAACGGCGGCCAGGTCTAATTGCGGAGCTTGTGGCAAACAGCGCAGATCAGGCGGCACTTCAAAGGCGAGCCCCTGAGCCACGAACTCCTGCACCTCCAATACGTGACACCACTCAAGCTGGGCCCGCTGCTTAAACCAACGAGCCCTGCAAGGGCAAGCAACGCTAGCACCATCGCAGCCTAGCACATTTGCTGCTGCTGTCGGTCCGCCTTTGCTCACACGTCGCGAGAACCGCCCTACAAAGAGCGATGAAGGACAGCTTGAGGGTCAGCCGCAGTCTCGTATCGTCGCCCCTACCAAGTGTGACGCAAATAACTCCTTGGAAGCGACCAGATGGCTGAAAATGTTCGCAGGGAGGTATCCTTGCTACTGGCCACCATTTCTTCGCGAGCCGTACAAGGCACAACAGGGCGTTCACGCGGGGCTTTTTTGACCCACTCGCACTCCTGCAGCCTGGGAGAAAGGATAGCACCAGGCAGCGGCATCCATCGAGAAACTTGACTGCAGGCGTCTCCAAGCATATTAAAGCTTTCTGGCCCTACCCAGCCAGCCACACAGAAAGCAACTCAGCCTTGCGTCGCAATACATCCAGCTTTGCAGGGGTCGGCTGAGTGATGCGAAACAATGCGCAAGCAAGCCTCACACACCTGGCAGTTAGAGAAGGCAGGAGACATGCAAGGTGGGCCAGGACACAATGAAAGCTTTGCGAAACCAAGCTCAAGTGCATTGAGCTCTTGTATGACATGGGGTTCTCAAAATTGGCCAGCCATAATCTCTGGGCCAACTCCGCCCTGTCCTGTAAATGGCTAAGCACGCAGTGGTCGATCGTGTCAAAGGCATCAAGTCGCGCAACCTCGCGAGTAGGATCTTGTCTCACGAAGCAACATGACCTGTTCAACGGCGAAGGCTCTTGGAAGCGTATGTCACACAATCTTGAAGCAACTGATTATTCGCTCGCGAGCCTCTAAAGCGCTTGCCCGTTCCTCGGCAATCTGATCCTCCAGAAAAAGCTGGCAATTGTCTCCCTGCTGTCAAACCTGTCACGTCCTTGTCCCCAGAACTCGATGCAGCAAAGCTTTCTGGCAGGCTGGAAGCAAGCATGTTTCGCATGCGTTTTCAGGGTTTTGCCCTGCTGTCCCGTAGCGGGTCCCGTTTACACAACAGCAACCACGAAGGCACGTACACGATTACGCCTGTCTCGTGCGAGCGCACGCGAGCGCGCCACTCCGCACATACGCGCTCATCGTTGCACACGCAAACGAAATGATAAGCACACCCGTTCGACTGCACAAACACCTGAACGCCCACTCACGCACATGACAAACATGCACGGCTGACACAGCGAGGTTTGCCCTTCCTGTGCACCTGCCCTTGCTTGTGCGCGCAGGTACACTTGCTTCTTTGTCGAATCTGGTGACTTGAGAATAATCTAAATGTTGTTTGGAATCACGCACGCGCATGTGTGGGCGAATGCGCCCCAACGTCATACCGAGGCATTGTGTTACTTTTGCGGCCTGGGATGTGCCGGAGCTTGTCGCTGAACGGGCCAGCAGCTTCAGCTGCTTCTTGAGTGAAAGCCTGCGCAGTGCGGCTCTGTCTGTCCCACTCACTCTGGTCTGTTCCCGATAGACGTTGGGTGCCCCTGCCTCAAGGACGGGTTCTACTGCGTGAGGTGGGTGACCACTCGAAAGGCACAATTGCAGAATTCGATCTTCTCTTGCCCTGCACAGGGACACGAGTCTTGCAAATGCTTCAGTGCGCTCGGCACCTGTTTGCACGTTCTTGTGCCGTAAGCTCACCCCGCTTGTTCTCCCAAATGTCCCGCAGCCTTCCAAAAGACAGCAAAGGATTCGGCTTGCTACACAGAATGAGGTCTCAGCCCAGCAATGTAGGCCATGAGGCTGTGGAGCTTCACAAGCAGAACCTGGCCAGTGCAAGCCGAGAAACATCTAACGCTCCCAGAAGTACGCCAGCCTTGTGTTTCGTATCAATCCTTCTCAATTCTTGACGCCGCCAGTGCAGCAAGTGCTCCTTTGCGAGGGCACAAAACCGATGAAATTGCCATCCAGAAAAGCAGTCAACACTACATGTGACCAGGTTGAGCTGCACATTGCTACCTCCGTTTCAAATGCAGAACCCAAGCGCAGTTGTGGAACGCATCTCTAGTTGAAAAGGCAGTTGGCATTGCCGACACAAGAATCACTCAGCTCTCCAGTGTTGACTTTTTTCCGCTATGGTTTGACTCAAGACTCGGACGCCTCTTCTTGCTATGCTGATCCCGGTCAATCCAATTGCAGCATCCAAGGCTCATTGTACCATCGCTCTCGCAAAGCCAAGATTCTCATCTGGCAAATAAAGCGCTGCTTGACTATTCATTTCGCACTGCCACAATGCTCGCAGCCCGCCGTCTCTTCGAGGTCAGCTTCGTACAAGTCGCGCCATCGGTTAGCAGCTAATGCCTGGCCACATTCACTCGCCCAAGCATTGCGAACATGTTAAGTTCCCAAGCCAACAACACGAAGCCTCCAAAGCTTCCAAGCACAAGCACTGCAAGCTCCAACGAGAGAACCCCCAGCACGCAAAGATCTTGAAACATGTCCAACCAAGGCAGCCAAAAGACAAACCCAGCAAACCACCCACCAAGATCCACAAGCTCCTACCGAAATCCAGCTTCGGACAAGTCAAACCAGAGAATGCACATGCATACAATGCATGGCCCGAGCCTGGGCCAGCGATGCCATGAATACCCAAAGCATCCAAAAATTGCTCCACGAAAAGTTAAGGCCTGCCAAGCTCACAGGACGGAAAGTGTGAAGTCTTCACATCTTCTCATAGTGTCACACCCTTCTTACAAGAAGCCTTTTCACTCAAGCCTGCATCCTGTCAAGCCTACCCAGCCAGGTATGCACAGAATTGGGCTTGAATTTTGAAACGCTCCCCACAAGCCGCCCTGGAATTCTGACCTCCAGACGCAAGTTGCCATGGTAAGGTTCAAAACAATTTTACCGGGTAAGAGACATTCGGGCAAACTGAGGAACACTAAAATCGAGTAATATGTTCGATTAGGCGGACGACAAACCAATCTGCAAAGCCCCTTCGTTGCGATGCCTGAGAAACATGGATAGTTATATTGCATTTATTAAACTTGCTCACGAGCTCAGTCAAACAAAGTAACTGACTGACACACCAACGAGCTAACAAGTAGAGAGTCCTGCTAATGACGATTGTATGCAAGACGCCCAACGAGCCAAGTCAATATAAAACTTACTAGCTAGCAAACCCACCAACTAACTCATTTAGTTAACAGCTAGCTTGCGAGCTAGCAAGCAAGCAATCAACCAGGAAAAGCCAGGCAGCAAGAAATCAATGCAAGCTAGCCAGATCTACAATGAAGAGACTCACTTAGTCACCTTCCAACTACCGTGCGCCGAAGGTAAGAGCTAGCTTGCCGTGCCCATCCTATTCCCAGCTGTTGCGCGTCCAATGCCGCTCTAAACTGGCTCCGAAGGGCCCGCTGGCTTGCACGCTTGCCGAATAGCCGCTTCTCTCCCTGCCCCTCATGTTCAAAGCATCGCGTTGAACTAAGTGTCCTGATCTGTTCCATGCTCGAGGCACGTTTGCTTTCCAAACAGCAGAGCTCAATTGTGGCCGTAGCACGGACGTCTTTGATGAACAATGTTGAGTGATGCATGATCAGACATAGAGAGAGAGAGGGGAAAAAAACGAAAACGAACGCAAAACAAACAAACAGACTGAGAGACAGACAGACAGACAGACAGACAGACAGACAGACAGACAAACAAACAAACAAACAAACAAGGCAAGTGGAATGAGAGGTGCATCCCGAATTCCCCGTTATTTGTCAGTGTCCTGACCATCAATCTCTTGCCACCATTCAGAATATGAACCAAGCAAATGGAGTTGCAGTGAACCGGGCATGTCAGATCAGTGTTGTGTTGAAACAGCATCTCCACTCAAGAAGCCATCTAACCTCTGACACATCTTGCGCTGTCAAGTCCTTGGTGGAAACACAAAAAATGAAGCTGCCTTCCTCCAACTTCTGCACGCCCAAGCACTGCAACAGCACGCTCGCAGGGTCCCCTGAGTGCTGCTGAGCTGGCAGGCCATGGCAACAAGCAGTTCGCCCCGGTATCCGTCTCAAATGTTGTGCCAAGCTGGAGACAGCTCCCGCTCCATGATGTAACTGAGCTTGCCGAAAGCCTTGCAGAACGACGCATGCATGCTTAAGTTGATTACAGCACTGGGGCAGAGGCTCCCTGCATAAAGCTGGGGCGACGAAGAATGTTTCTGGGCATTCCTCACTCAGCTGCGAAATTGCGCGCGCCGCCATTTTCACATCTTGAACATCAAACGCATTCATCACCTGCGACAACGCTGTCCTGGCAGTTGATGGAGCGAAGCGCCTTGGGATGGGCACGCTGCTCGCACTTTAAGACCACGCAACATGGCTGGGAGCCAACACTTTCGATACGTGTTGCGAAAGAGTGCTGTATCCTTGTGGTCATTCTAGGTCCTTCTGGCCGGCTTCAATCATCGGACGCGTTTATACCCCCAACAAGGCGTTGACAGCTACGAAGACGCCAACTCAGTTGCCCTCGTTCGTGCGTGGATAGAAACTTCCCAAGCTGGACTGCAAGCACGCTAGCAATCATGCAGTCAAACTGAAATGCCCTACCGCGGCACGAACGCCTCCTTCCTTGATCACAGGCCAAAAGCTGCCAGCGTCCTCTGTTCCTTACCTCAAGACCAGGCGCTCCTTGATTTGGGACACCAAGAGCTTCACCTGCCAGTGGCTGGGCTGCCAGTGGCTGGGCTGCCAGCTCCAAGAACTTTGTAGCCGCAAATGTGCCTCTTCACAAACCCAAAATGGGTCCTCCAAGAGCAGCTGCCCACTCGTGACCCCCGCGCTTGCAAAGCCGACGACACACGGCCACTCCCTCACCGGACATTCGCAGGACCTGCGCACGATATGACTTCTGTGTCACCAACCACAGGGCTGCGGACGGGGGCAGTGACCTGGCACCCAACCACCACCAAGCCGTCCAAAGAGGAGGAAGTCCGAAGGCAGGTTTGACACGGCGGCCCCCAAAAAGTCCACTACTTGCCCGGGGGTGGTCAGGCTCGCGTGAAGAAGCCACCGGCAAAGAAGATCACATAGCGCTTCGGGTAGGTGAGCTCCTGATTGCTGAGCTTCTCGGACTCGCCCTCCAGCTCAAACAACCCAAATCTCGCCAAGAATTTTCCAGTCAGCGCTGAGCTCGTTCGTTGGTGAGTGAGGGCTTGGCAGTTGCAGTCGCGCAGTAGATCTGACCTTGTCGTTTCCTCTTTCACGTTCAGAGGGAGACCTCGTACTTCTTGGCCCCCTCTCAGAGCTTGGGATTTGTCGGGCCACCCTTTTTTCAAGAGCCTTGTCGAGGCCTCGAGCAGCTCCAGCCTGCTCCTCGCAGCGGGCGAGCATTCCGTGCGCGCTCCACCTTCTTGCAAGCAACCGCGCAAAATCCAACGCCGCTCTCACACGCTCATCATCGGCGGAAAGCCCAGGTCATGCCCAGCATCAGGACCCAGGAGTGTTTGGGGGAGCGCTCCCATCGTTCTTGCTTGACGCCTCGACTGCACGCCTCGACTGCCAGCGCTCTATCACCTACTCGTCGCTGGCACGCTGCCTGCAAAATGCGCTAAGCCTCCTCCGGACGCAGAGCTAACCACCGCAGCTGGCAGCACAAGGGAAAGAGGAGCTGGCTCAAGTGCCCCATTGCGCACATATCCCTATTGCACACGCACACCCGTTGCACATACGTTCTTCTCACGGGCACTAGTAGGTACCCCGCATCTGCGCCAGCCACTTTTGCGCCCTGGAGCGATGCTCTTCAGGCTTGCGCGATTGATTGCTCGACTGCTTGCTTCCTTGCTTGCTTGCTGCCTGCCTGCGCGCTTGCCTGCTTGCCTGCCTGCCTGCCGGCCTGCCTGCCTGCTTGCTTGCTTGCTTGCTTGCTTGCTTGTTCTTGCTAGTTCTTGCTAGTTCTTGCTGGCTTGTTCTTGCTTGTTCTTGCTTGTTCTTGCTTGTTCTTGCTTGTTCTTGCTTCTTGCTGGCTGGTTCTTGCTTGTTCTGGCTTGTTCTTGCTTGTTCTTGCTTGTTCTTGCTTCTTGCTGGCTTGTTCTTGCTTGTTCTGGCTTGTTCTTGCTTGTTCTTGCTTGTTCTTGCTGGCTTGTTCTTGCTTGTTCCTGCTTGTTCTTGCTGGCTTGTTCTTGCTTGTTCCTGCTTGTTCTTGCTTGTTCTTCTTTGTTCTTGTTTGTTTGGATTGATTGTTCGCTTGCTTGCTTGCTTGCTTGCTTGCTTGCTTGCTTGCTTGCTTGCTTGCTTGCTTGCCTGCCTGCCTGCCTGCCTGCCAGTCTGCCTGCCTGCTCGCTTGCTTCCTTGCTTGCTTGCCTGCCTGCCTGCCTGCTTGCTTGCTTGCCTGCCGGTCTGCCTGCCTGCTTGCTGGCTTGCTTGCGCTTGCTTGTTCTTGCTTGTTATTGCTGGCTTGTTCTCGCTTGTTCTCGCTTGTTCTTGCTTGTTCTTGCTTGTTCTTGCTTGTTCTTGCTTGTTCTTGCTTGTTCTTGCTGGCTTGTTCTTGCTTGTTCTTGCTTGTTCTTGTTCGCTTGTTTGTTTGTTTGCTTGCTTGCTTACTTGCTCGCTTGCTTGTTTGTTTGTTGGTTTGGTGGTTCGTTTGTTTGTTTGTTTGTTTGATTGTTTCTTCGCTTGATTGTTTGTTTGTTCGTTTCGTGTCGCTCGCTCGCTCGCTCGCTCGCTCGCTCGCTTGCTTGCTTGCTTGCTTGCTTGCTTGCTTGCTTGCTTGCTTGCTTGCTTGCTTGCTTGCTTGCTTGCCTGCTTGTTGCTTGCTTTTTTTGGTCTGTGTTTTTGTTTGTTTGCTTGTTTGTTTGTTTGCTTGTTGGTTGATTGGCTTGTTGGTGCGTTGGTCTGTTGGCTTGTTGGTTGGTTGGCTTTGTTTGCTTTAGGGTTGGTTGGGTTTGGTGTGGATGTTTGTTTGTTAGTTGGTATGTTTGTTGTGTCTTTCTTGATGTTGTTTCTTTGTTTGGTTGTTTGTTCCTGCTCGCTTGCTTCTAGTTGTTTTCATGTTTGTTTCGTAGCTAGATAGTTAACTAGTTAGTTAGCTAGCTAGCCAGCTAGTTGGTTCATTAGTTTGTTGGTTGATTGTTTGCTTTCTTGTGTTTGTTTGTGTGTTTTGTCTGTATCTTTGTTTGTTTGTCTTTGTTTGTTTGGTTGTTTTTGAGTGCTTGTTTTGATTGCGTTTGTCGGTGTACGTTCGCTTGCTTGTGTCGGTTGTTTTTGATTGCTGTTGCTGGTTGCTTGTTCTTGCTTTCTTTTTTTTGATTGTTTTCTTGTCGGCTTGTTTTGATTGTCCGTTTTCGTTTTTTTGCTCGTTTGTTCGCTCGTTCGATTCTTCGCGCGCTCGCTTGCTTGCCTGTGTGTTTGTTTGTTTGTTTGATTGTAGGTTTGGTTGTATCGGCCTCTTTGTTTGTTTGGTGGGTTTGTTTGGTTGCTTGCTTGTTCGGTTGTTTGTTTGATGGCTTGCATTTGTTTGTTTTCGTTTCGCATGTTTGTTTGTATGTTTGTACGATGTTTTGCTAGTTTGGTTGTTTGTGCGTTTTGTTCGATTGTTTCGGTCGCTTTGGGTGGATTCATTGTTTTGGTTTGTGTGTTTTGTTTCGGTTGGTTGTTTATTTGCTTGTGTTGCTTGGCGTTGGATTGTTTGTTTGTTTGTGTTTGCTTGTTTGTGCGTTCGTTTTTTGCTTCTTTGACCGTGTGTGTGATTGTGTGTCTGTGCGTTTCTGTGTTTGTGTGTTTGCGTGTCTGTGTGTGTTTGCTGGTGCGTTTGGGCACCGTGTGTTTCTTTGTTTGACTGTTTGTTTTTGTCGGTTGGTTTGTTTGTCTGTTTGTTTGCTTGTTTGTTAGCTTGTTTGTTTGGTTGTTTGGTTGATTGTGTTTGCGCTTGTTTGTGTTTGTGCGGTTGTTTGTTTGTTTGTTTGTTGCTTGTTTCTTGGTTTCTTTGATTCATTGTTTCTTTGTTTCCTTTTGCTTTGTTACGTTGTTTCCTTGTTTCCGGGTTCCTTTGTTCCTTTGTATTTGAGTATTGTTTCTCCATGTCTTTGTTTCTACTATTTTTGTTTCATTGTTTCTCGGTTTCTTGCTTTTTGTTGCTACTTTGTTTTGTTGTTCCGTCGCTTGTTTGTTTGTTTGTTTGCTTGCTTGCCTGTTGCTCGCGCGCTTCTTTGTTTTCATGCCTGTGTGTGTGTATGTGTTTGTTTGTGCGTTTGCTTGTGCCTTGGTTTGCGTTTGTTTGCTTGCTGGTTTGCCTGTTTGTTTTGTCTATCTGTTATTTGTGCGTTTGATTGGTTACTTGCTTGGTTGTTTACTTGGTTCGCTCGCTTGCTGGCTTGCTTGCTTGCTTGTTTGTTTGTCTGTGTTTGTTTGATTGCTTGTGCGTTTCTTTGTTTGGTTTCGTCTAGTTTGGTTTGGTTTATTGGTTTGGTTTGGTTTGGCTTGGCTTGGCTTGGCTTGGCCTTGCATAGCTTAGCTTGATTTGGTTTGGATTTGTTTGGTTTTCTGTTTGCCTGTCTGCTAGCTTGTTTGCTGGTTTCGTTCCTTAATTGCTTTTTTTTGTTTGTTTGCTACGCGTTTGTGTGCGTGTGCGCCTTTGTGTTTCGCGGTTGTGCGTTGAGCGTTTGTTTGTTTGTTTGTTTGGTTGTTTGTCTCTCTTGTTAATTGTTTGTGCTTTCCTTTGTTTGTTTGCTTGTGTCATTGTGTCTGTTGTTTGCTTCTTTGCTTGCTTGCTTGCTTGCTTGCTTGCTTGCTTGCTTGCTTGCTTGCTTGCTTGCTTGCTTGCTTGCTTGCTTGCTTGCTTGCTTGCTTGCTTGCTTGCTTGCTTGCTTGCTTGCTTGCTTGCTTGCTTGCTTGCTTGCTATCGTCTTCGTTTCTTTCGTTGCGTTTGCGCTTGTGTTTGTTTGCGTGTGTTTGCGATTGTTTGTGTTCTTTTGCTTAGGTCTGGCTTGGCTTGCCTTGGCTTGGCTTGGTCGCTTGCTTTTGTTTGCTTGTCTGCTTGTCTGTCTGTTTGTCTGTTTGTCTGTTTGCCTGTTTGTTGGTTTGGTACTTTTGTTTGTTTGCTTGCTTGCTTGCTTGCTTGGTCTGTCTGTCTCTCTGTCTCTGTCTCTGTCTCTATCTCTCTCTCTGTCTCTGTCTCTGTCTCTGTCTCTGTCTGTCTGTCTGTCTGCCTCTCTGTCTGTCTGCCTGTCTGTCTGTCTGGTTGATTGCTTGTTTGCTGGTTTGCTTGCACATGTGCTTGTGCTTGCGCTTGCGCTTGTGCTTGCGCTTATTGTGCTTGCGCTTGTGCTCACGCTTGCGCTCATGCTTGCGCTTGCGCTTGCGCTCATGTCATACTTGCGCTTGCGCTTGCGCTTGCGCTTGCTTGCTTGCGCTGGTACGTGCGCTGGTGCTGGCGCTCGTGCTCGTGCTCACGCTCGTGCTCGCGTTCGTGCTCGTGCTCGCGTGATGGTGCGCTTGTGCGTCTGTGCGTTTGTGTGATTGAAGATTTGTTTGTTGGTTTGGTTTGGCTTGGTTTGGTTGGTTTACTTATTTGGTTTTGTTTTGTATTGCTTGCTTTGTTGTGTTTTGTTTGGTGTATTTGATTGTTTGTTTGTTTGCTTGCTTATTGTTTGTCTGCGTGGTCGTTTGTTGCTGGTATCGCCGTCAGGAACCTGGCGGCTTGGTGCATTTCTCATGCTTTTTGACATTTGTTGGGTACTCGGAGTCTTCACACGTGCGGCTAAGCTGCACACGTGCTGGCACAAATGGTAATACACTCACCCACGCGCACCCACGACCGCTGCACACATGCTAGCGCAAATCAAACATACACACGCCCACGCGCATCCCCGACCGCTGCGCGCAGGCTGGCATTAATGACAATACACTGTGTTACACACTCTGCTTCCACCACTGATGCACGCGTGCTGTTACACACACGCCCACGCGCGTTCACAACCGCTGCACGCATGCTGCCACAAATGATAAAAACAGCTGGGGCACAAGTGATCACAAACAGTGTGAACCCGCACTTGATCTTTTACTGAACAGGATGTCTTCACAACCAACATGCCGCGACGCACACTTTCAAAATCGAACTAGTGGATTGAAATTATTTTTGATTAGTTGTTTGCCGATATGCGCCGATTTCGTTGGCCAGCGCTGTGAATTGTAAGAACAGGAGGCTTGGTTTGTGCCAGGCGACTGGCGGCGGTGTGACCTGCTTGTTTGTTTTTAATTAGTTTGCTTGTTCGTGCTTGTGCTTGTGCTTCTGTTTGTGTTTGTGTGTTTTGTTTGCTTGTTTGCGCTTGTGTTTGTGTCAGTCTGTCAGTTTGTGTCTGTCAGTCTATCAGTCTGTCAGTCTGTCAGTCTGTCAGTCTGTCAGTCTATCTGTCTGTCAGTCCTGTCTGTCTGTCTGTCTGTCCTGTCTGTCTGTCAGTCAGTCAGTCTGTCTGTCTGTCAGTCTGTCGGTCTGTCGGTCTGTCTGTCTGTCTGTGTCTGTCTGTGTCTGTCTGTCTGTCTGTCAGTCTGTCTGTCTGTTGCCTGCTTGTTTGCATTTGTGATTGTGTGTGTGTGCGTGTTTGTGTGTGTGTTGCGCTTGTGCTTGTGTCGCTGTTCGTGCCTCTGTTTGTGTTTGTGCTTGTGTTTGTTTCGCGTGT